ATATATGCACTAATTTCTGCTGTGGATTGGAAAATTTAAGTTCTCTTACTTAGATGGTAGCATTCTAAGGTTCTTGTGATGCCTGTGGCCTTTTTCAGTCTCTTTAGATTACTTGAATCACTGCCATCCAGTTCCCTTTATGTGTTGAAATTATTGACTAATGTCATGAGGCAATTACCTCAGCGCTTTCTTTGTAGGGGTTCTTTGTGTAGCACTATTATTCATTCATACAGAAAAATACAAGGCAAAAACAAGCATTTATTTTTTTCCCCTCTGAGATTTTTCTGCACTCTTGTGGACTTACCCTTCCCTGCATTATAAGGGTAGACAGGTGACCATATAGACTACATAACGACCCAAAAGCACAGAAAGCTATTCTATTGGCTTGAGTAGAAAGAAGCTTAAAAGTAGATACCTGTCTCAGACAGGGTCCTGCTGTGGCTGTAGTAATTCTTCAGGCTAGAGAACAATAAATTTACCCTTCTATATATGAAAATACTGTCCATAAACAGATGGGATATTATTATACCTTTAACGTGTTTTAACAGTGCTTTGTGAGTTTTTAGTGCATTGCAGTACTCATAGTACTTTCACATACTCATGGCTGCCCTGCCTCACTTATTCCTCCTCAAATCCTCTGTGAAGTAGGAAGTTCTTTAGAGATGAGGCAACCAGCCGGTTCGTTTATAGTCAGTACATGATTTGCTCCAGGAAAACTAAGTATCAGACTCAAAGTCTTCTTGATTGTGTATGTTACTATACTTAAGTATGAGACTAGGGATTTAGCTCAGGGGCACCGTGTCACAAACACAAGGTCCTGAGTTCAATCCTGGGTGCCAAAGAAAACAACTCTACTCAAGTATCATGTGTAGCTGGGTGTGGTGTTGCACACCTGTAATCCCAGCACTCTGAGATGTGGAGGCAGGAGGATTGCAAGTTCATTCCTAGTCTAGGTAATTTAGCAGTTTAGTGAGACCTTGTCTCAAAATGAAAAATAAAAAGGGTTCAGTCCCTAGTACTGAAAAAAAATCATGTGTAGGAAATACTTTTACCTCCTAGGTGCTCATGTATGTATGGTACTGGAATGAGTATTTTTCCCAACAGGTTAAATAGCCATTTCCTTCTGAGAGCTTATAACCCAAAACACATACCTTTATAAATGTGCTGTAATTAATAGACATTGTTTTATTAGCATATTTTAATTATTAGTATGGACAATTCTGAACAATAATCTATAGTCACTTGGGGAAACTTCTGCAGTATGTAGTGGCATACATCTGTAATCCCAGCTATTCTGGAGGCTGAGGCAGGAGGCTCACAAGCTCACGGTTAGTCTGGGCAATTTAGCAAGACCTGGTCTCAAAAAGTCATTTTTTAAAAGAGGGCTGGGGGTGTAGTTCAGTGGTAGAGCATGTCTGGTTTATCCCTAGTACCACCAAAAAAGAAAAACAAAACTGGGTTTAGCTCAGCAGCACTGTGTCTGCCTTGCAA